GCGCGTTGGCGGCGCCTGTCCTATTACAGACGACACATGATCAATAGGCTGATAACGCAGCAACATCAATATAAGCGACAGAACAATGAGGGATATCATTGGGCATCTATCTTAATATAGCCGGCTACAAGAGCGCTGACAAAGAGTGCAGCTCATGAAAATTCCGCCCCACGACTCCCCGTCTCCGCTCCAATATGCGCACGCACTCCCCCAGCTGCCGGCGCTATTATTCTCCAATTTCAATTTGACACCCCAGCCTTTCATGCTAATTCTATTATTGTAGGAAGTTTATGTGATTTCATATCACTAGAAATCGGTAATGTATAATAACCCTTTGGGCAAGAAACCCAGTCCCCGCAGCAGCCACCGGAAAATAATTACTTTCATATCAAAACTCTGCAGGAGCCCAGCGGCCCGGCCCTTGCAGCCCCCGGCTCCGTCACCCCGCGCCGCGCGTCCCGGCGTGTGCCAGCGCGGGGGTGCGCGCGGGGGCGCGCGTGTGTGTGGCGCCGGGTGGGAGGGGGAGCGCGAGGGAGGGCAGGAGAGGGGGAGCTGCGGATGCATAAATTTGTTCAATCAGAAAACACAAACACACGCACACAAAAGGAGGCATTAAGCACGGACCTCGGGGGAGGTGAGGAGCCGCGTCCCTGCCCCACCCGCGGGGAGAGGAGCGGAGATCGGAGGGGAGGAGGGGCCACACTGGGCGCTCGGAAATTTGAAAAAGATGGACCTTAGAGCTTGCGTTTGACCACCTTTATTTATCAAAAATGGTACATATATAAATATTCTTAGACATTTTTGCATTTTACAAGGCTGAGGATTCTTGTTGTGGGTTTTGTGCGGGGAATGCTTGCTTGTTGTTGCTTTGCTTCCCCCGAGAAGAAGAGGGTCTCCCCAAGTCCTGCGGTTGCTGCCTAGGTCCGAATTGAAACAGCGGTTTTCTTTTAAAAATAACAATAAAAGGAAGAAAACAGAAGAAACATGAAAAAGCAGTGTTTCTAAGCCGATCACCTGATTTCGCTGTGTGAGTCGAGCCTGAGCGAGCGAGCGCCGGCCGGCTGAGCGCTTCTCCAGGCCACGCCGCCCCTCAGTCCATGTCCACCTCCTCGCCATCGGGAACGCTGGGTCCGGACTCGGCGCCTGGCTCCGGGGCCCCGCACAAAGACGGCTCCCCAGTGGGGCTGGGAGCCCTAGGGCCGGGCCCGGGCGACGGCGCGAGAGGGGGCGGCGGTGGGGCCGCTAGGCAGGCGGTGCCCGGATCCGCGCAGTCCCCGCCGCCGCCCTCGGCCGCAGCCACAGCCGCGTCCCGGAAGGGCGCCGGGGTCGGGGCCCCCGGGGAGGCGACGGCGTCGGGGCTGCGGCGCGCGAAGGCCGAGTCCGGAGCGCCGCCGGGCCCCGGGAAGGCCCCGAAGCTGGCCTGAGCGGGCGGCGCCGTCGGCGCGGCGGGTGCGGGCGGCGCGTCCTTGGGCGCCGGCTCCGGACCCGCTGCGCTCTTGAGCGCGGCCTGTGGCACCAGGAAGCCGAGAGGCTGCGTGATGGGGTAGAGCAGGAAGTGGCCCTTGCCAATGAGGGTCCGCGGCGCGCACGGCAGCCCGGGCGCAAAGTCCAGCCCCGCGGCGGCGGCGGCTGCGGCGGCGGCGGCGGCGTTGGCGGGGGCCGCTTTCCGGCGCGGCGGCGAGTCGGACAGCAGGCTCTCCACGCTGAACGGGCTGGCCTTCGGCAGGCCGGCGGCGCCGCGTTCCGCCGCCGCCCCAGGCGCACACGGGGCCGCGTCCTTGTCCGCGGGGCGGCTTAGCCGCGCCTGCGGGCCTGCGCCACTTCTTTGGCTCGGGTAAAAGGCGGGGTCGCAGGTGCCGGGCGCGGGCGGTTCGCCCGGCGGTGCGGGCGCGGAACCCGCGGGGCCGGCGGCGTGCGCGCTAGGGCCCTTGGCCGCGGCCGCAGGCGGCGGAGGCTCGGGCGGCTCCGGGGACAGGCCGCCGCCGCCGCTGTCGCTGTCGGAGCTCGGTGCGCTGTGCAGGGACAGGCCGCCTGGAGAGTGCAGGTGGCGGCTCTGGCTCTTCAGCAGCTTCTTCTCGTGCTTGCGCTTCTTTTTCTCCATCTTCTCCAGTTCTTTACGCGCGATCTCCTCTGGGTCCATCGGCTCGCCACTGCACGTGGTGGGGTGAGAGTTGTGAGCCGGCCGCCCCGGGCCCTTCTTCGTGTTCTCCTTCTTCCTCCACTTGGCCCGGCGGTTTTGGAACCAGACCTAGAGCACCCGGATAGGGGAAAGGAAGGCACAGTCAGGCAGCGGTCTTGCCGCTGGGGCTTCGGGCCTCCCCACGACCCCCGCCCCACAGACAGGCCTGTAGGACCTCGGCTGTAGCCGCGGGGTAGTGGGGACGGGGAGAGGGGGTCGGGAGGGGCACGGAAGCCAAGGCACAAGACCCAGTCAGCCCTGAGCTGGGTTTCGGCACCCAAGCTGCAAGTTCCAAAGAGCATCTTTTTCCACCCAGAAGGAGATAGATGGGGCCTGTCGGCCAGCTTCCCGCTCGGCTTCTCACCTCGGGGAACTGGGAGCTGCCCCTTCTTGGGCACGGTCGATCTGGCCCCTGAGGGCTTCTGGTTCCTGGTCAGGAGGCAGGCAAGGAGCAGGGCCCCTGGTCGCCCCTCTTGGCTTCTCACAGCTTCTGGTCTAAGCAGCCTGCCTGGCCTGGTGATGACCGTCTGGCCTGAGGACCACCAGTGGCTGGGCTCAGCTGCCCTCCACACCTGTCTTCGGCCCCCTGGAGACTTGAGTCAAAGCCCAGATTTTGGGGGTTCCCATAAGGGGATATCTGCAGCCTGAAGCTGAACTTAGGGGGAAGCGTTCCAGCAGCCTTCCCCACAACACGTTTACACACAGCCTTCTTTCTGGAGGCTCTAGGCCACCAACACAGCCCTCTGAAAGCAGTGGCGCCTGGCCTAGGCCAGGGAGGGAGGCAGACAGAGAAGAGGCCAGTTGCCCGGCGGTGCAGAAGCGGCCTGGGCCTGGGCAGCCTCTCTGCACTCTGTGCAGGCCTTGTCCTGGGGAGCCACAGTCCCGGGTACCGGCTCCCCACCACACACACACACACACACACACACACACACACACACACACAGGCAGGTCTGGAGGGCCTCTGCCACACCACCCTCCTCAAAAGATCGCGACCATCTGAATTCTTTGTTGTGGCCATGGAGAGACCAGGCACAACAGCGGCCGGCCTGGTCACAGGGAGCTGCGCTGGCGCCAAGGTGCAGGTTCTAAGCTGTAACCTCTCCAAGGCTGGAACTTCTTCCTTCCTTCTTTCAAATACGTCTTTTTTGGGTGCAAATCCCAGGCTGACTTGTCACCAAGTAATGCTCATTCTGCTCATGGTGGGGGGGGGGGGGATGAAGAGGTCTTTGCTTAAGACACTTAAACAAATTGGATGAAAGGATTTACAAACAGAAGAGGTCGTGAGGGGCAGCGCAAGTACGGGTCGAGAACACCTTTTTAGACAAAGCTGTTGGTGTTAACCAGGCATTGCTGGGCCTCTGCCTCAAAGCCCTGCTCCCACAGTTGCACACCCCACTCGCTACCACACCGACCCCAGAAAAAGATTTCTGTACTTCAGGAAAACATCCGATTATGCACAATTCATCTTGAAGTTTTAATCCACCAAATCGACACTGTATTTTTAAAAAGAATAACGCCGGCAATTTCCGAATGAAATCAAAGTACAGGGAAAAGACAAAACCGAGAGTATGAAAGATTCAGACACCCTTTTGCCCCACAGTGAGTTAATTGCTGCAGTGTCCGCCTCCCCTTCCTCAGCTAACCTCCTTCTGCGAAACGATGAATAAATACAAGACTCCGTCTGAGTATTTTAGAGGCGAGAGGTAAACAGACGCGTGTGCTCCAGGCTGGTGCACCGAGCCCCCAGGCAAGGGCTCGGAGGCGCGGGGTCTACCTGCCCCGGGCCTCCTCCAGGTCCCAGCCAGGGTGGTTCCCCCCTCCCTCACCCCCCGCCCCGCCGCCCCTTCTGCCGTCCAGCCCTCCAACACTCCATTCCGCGCGGTCGCCCGACTCCCACCACGCAGCTCCCGGGTCCGACGCAGCTGCTGTTGTGGTTACTTCGGGGCCTTCGGCCCCTCCCAAGCCGCCCGCGCTTTCTCTCCGGAAGGCGCCGAGCCCCGGAAGCCCACCGCCACCTCGGGGCACGCGAGCGCGAGGCAAGCTCTGCGGCGGGGCCGCGGTCCCCCACCTAGAACAAAGGCGGGGACGGCACCCGGCGGGCCTCGTGGCGGGACGCTGGCTCCCGCGATGAGCCGCGGTCTTTACCTGCACTCGGGATTCGACCAGATCCAGGCGCAGCGCCAGCGCCTCGCGCATGAACACGTCGGGATAGTGGCTCTCGTTGAACGCCTTCTCCAGCTCCTCCAGCTGCCAGCCGGTGAAGTTGGTGCGGGTGCGCCGCCGCTTACAGCCCGGGCTCTCCTTGTCGGGGTCCCCCGAGTCTGCAGGCACGCAGAGGACGCCGCAGGGCTCAGCCAGGGCCCGGGCCATATCCGCCCCCTGGACACCCGTCGGCCGCCCGGGTCCTGGGGCCCCGAGCCGGGGTGGCAGACCCGGGGGTGCGCTGAGCCTCGTTCTGCAGTCCCCGGGCAGCCCGGCTCCTGCGACCGACAAGGGTGCCCTGCTCCCCGCCATGCCCTCTCCGCCCGCCGCACCTACCTGACAGCTTGAAAGGCTGGCTGTCGCCTCCTACCCCGCAGGCTGCCGGCAGCAGCGGCGTGGGGTTGACCACGGAGGCGGCGGCAGCGGCGCACGAGCCGCTGAGCAGGCCGTCGATGGAGAAGGGCACCGAGGCGGCGGCGGCGGCGGCGGCCGACTGCAGCTGGTGGCCGGCCAGCTCGTACACGTGGTGGTGGCCCAGCGGGTAGGGGAAGCCCACCACGCCGCCCAGCGAGCCCCCGAACTGGGCATGCGGGTGCTCCAGGAGGCGGCCGTCCATCATCTCGCGCGGGGGGCCGGCGGGGCCGGCGGCGGGGCGCGGGGGCGCAGGCCGGGGCCGGGGCGGGCCAGCGGCGGGAGGCGCGGACGGCGGCGGCGGCGGCGGCGGCGGAGACAGGGACCCGGAGCCCTACACATGCTTCGCCCGCACTCCGGCGCTTTACTTTATCAACATCAAGCTCCCGATAATTAGCCGCGGCCCGGGGAATTTGGGACCAATAAGAAGCGCTAATCGGCTCTGACGTCAGAGGCGTGCTGGGTGCAAGGAAACGTTTTCCATATCGATTGCTAATTATACCTGACATGCACCTCAATAAACAGTATCAGGAACTGTCACAACAAGGGGGGGGGGCAGCAGAGAGGGAGGGGCGCGGCCCAGAGCTGGGCGGGCACGGGCACCGGGAGCGGTCCAGGCAGGGGTCCCCGGCGAGCCCCCCACTTCAATCCCCGCTGGCCGTTGCCCGCGCCTCCTCCCGCCGCGGGCTCCCCGCCCCTCTGCAAATCACTAATAGATTTCCCTTTAAAACATTCACCGGCGTGTTGTGGGGATTTTTCACCAGAAATGCTGTACTCTCTGAACCTTTAAAGTGATGTTGCTCCAATTACAGAGAGACATTGAGCGGCAAATAGACTGATCCAATAATAGGAGATTCATCATCCGCTCTTTCCGAAACTGTCACATTGAATTTAAAACTACAAGGGCTTCTCATCTCCTCTCCGGCTCCAGGCGGCGGGGGAGAGGAGGAAGGAGAGGGAGGAGGAAGAGGAAGGAGCCGAGGGGGCAGGGGGAGGGGGCGACTCCAAAAGAGAATGACTCCTACAGAATGTAGCGCCCTGTCAATAAAAGGCATAATTAATGCCCTCTCTGACTGGCAGCCGCCTGCTCTATAGAAACAGAGGTGGGGGGGTCGGCTGCGGAGACACCCCGACCCCCACACTCCCCCTACTCTGTAAAACCAGGCCACAGGGCTAGGGAGGAAGGGAAAAGTAACTTTGGGGTGGCAGCCAATCAGGCCCCCTACACAGGGATAAAAAAAATAAATACATCTCACTTTGACTCGGCCTCTGAAGAATAGGGCCCAGGTACTCAACCCATTAATTATAATTAAATTATGTTCTCAGAGAAGTGTCTGTCACTCCCTTTTCCACTATAAAATATTGATAGACTCAAAGCTAAATCATTAAAGGACATATTCTTAAATAAGCAGCAAATTAGGACTGTAGGCAGAAGGGAAAGAAATCATGGTGTGTGTGTGTGTGAGAGAGAGAGAGACAGAGACAGAGAGTGAGAGAGCACGCGTGCACCCGTGAGCGTGTAATATCCTTTGTAAAAAGTTTGCGGATGGGAAGGGTGCATTTGCTGCAGCTCCAGGCCCGTGGACTTCATCTCTGTGCTACCTGTGGCCCGAGATGGAGTCCGGGAGGAAGGAGCCATAGGGCCTCAGACCTGGCCAGTCCTGGGGCCCCGGCCGCCAGCCGCCTCTCACCCAGCGCAAGGCGACGGGCACGTTGGCCTTTGGTGTAAGTGGCTTCGGCCAGCCTGCCAAGCGCCAAACCGGGAGCGAAGGGATCTGCGTGTCTGTGGTCCGATACCGTCCGTTCTTCCTGGCCAGGGGAGGGGCACACACCACTCTGCCGGAGGGAGTTGGGACAGACCTGCCTCGCGGCGGGGGCGCCGGCATCGCGGCCCCGCCTCGGTCCTTATTGAACATGCCCTGGCCGCAGCGACCGCGATGTGATCACCGTCTCCCCTCTCGTTGTTCGAGAGGAGGGAGAGGTGCAGGGGTGGGGGCAGGCCTACATCTGGCACAGACCATGAGCAGGCTTGCAATTTGGGGCCTTACCCGCCCCACCCCAGTCCCCGGCGCACTAGGAAAACGCTGCAAGTATTAATTCCGAGGTCAGGGGCCAAGAGCACTACTTTTCGCCATAATTTAATTTCTTTCTCTATAAATACTAAATGTAAACTCTGTCCCTCCGACTCGATTTTGCCCGTAGCCGCAAGCGCCTCGTTCTCTGCCGGGTGCGCGAGGAGGAATGCGCCCGGCGCGTGTTTCTGAATACAGAGCTGCAATCAATTCGGCCCGAGGGGAGGGCAGGGGAGGGGCGGGCGCCGGCCGGGCTCCCTCGCCCATCTCTCTTTATTATAATGAATTAATTCGACTTTATTTATCCCATTTTCTGGAGCTGACAGAATGTTAATTTGAGTTGAAATTTCGCTCGCCTCTCACTCTCTGACCCCTGGCCTTCAGATTGGCGTGTTGTAATAACCTGAATCTTTCAACAGAGGCCCTGATAATTGTTACCTTATTAGCATGCAAATTGTTTAATTAATATTATTATGAAGAAGCATACAATCCGTCCGTCACTTGACCTCAAGAGCGAGTCCGAGCCGCAGCCGGCTCCGCGCATCTCAATGCGCCCATTTCAATCGCTCTGTGTTTTTAATGTTCCCCGGCCCGGCTCGCGCTCCGAAAATCTCCTCGAGTGTTTGAGAGGGGCCT